TGCTTAGGATTCATTCATTCATTCACACTTCTTAACTGCCCATATCCCTTCATCTGTCAAAATCTGTTGAGTAATCATCAAGGATATCCTTTATCTCTTTCTAATTTGTTACAGGAAACTTTGACTTGTTTTATTAGACAAATAAAGGACATTTCAGGTATAACAAGGTAGCTGAGAACAAACATATCATATGCTTATATAAATTTTTATGCCAAAATCTTTTGACATTGTGCACTTGTTGGGTAATGGGATTTTTCAATTAACAGTCTATGTTCTATTCTCTGTTCTCTGTACTATATCTCTTTAAATCAGTGTTCTTTAAACTGTTTCAGAAAATCCTGGGGTGCCACAATAACTTGATTAGGTTCCATTACAGACAAAGGGAATAAAAGAGGTTTACTTGAATATAGCGAATTTGCTATAACTAGAGTTTTTTTTTTTTGAACAGGGATTCCTGGATCTTTTTTTAATTAACAGGTTGCATGGCCTGAACAAGTTTGTAAACAACTGTTTTAGATTAGTTGTTTGGATTACTCTAGTTTTTAAAGAATCTGAGTTGTGCAAGACATATATAGATTACCTAAAATTGTAAAATGGCTCTATATTCTGTAAAATACTTCAGAAGAATTAGTAGTATGTAAATCTCAATTTTACTATTAATATCAGAATTAATATCAGAATGTGTTTTTGGTAATTCTAAATCTGTGATATAGACAATTAAAGAATATTTTAAGGCATAGTTTAATTATTTATAAGAACTCTGGATTAAGGATTCCCAATAGTTCATATTATCAAATAAATGAGTAAGAATCTTAAGAATATTAAATTCTTATTCTTGCAGTATTATGTTTCTTATCTTAAATTGAGATTAATTGGACAAAATATTGTTTTTCACAAATTCTGACCTCTCCAAAGCATGCTATTTATACTGGCAATGTAAAATGGTTTAATTTATGTATTTACAGGCAGCCTATATATCCTGTAAATAAATATAATTACATGACTTATTTATTTATTTATACAGAATAAATATCATTAAATATATAATGATTCGATGTGGCTAACAACAAATCTGTATGATATGGGCTTGTCCAATTATTGCCTACTTTTGTTTATCAACCATATTTTGTAAACATAGCACTAAAAAGATGGTATGAAGGTACTTCTGAATTGTATATAAAATATTTTGAATAAATGAAGAAATGGATATATTGATCAAGGAGTCAGCAAAAAGATTTTCTCTTAAGTATTGGAAAGGCAATAAAATTCCAGGCTTATAATTTTGGATTGTTGTTGTTGTTGTCTATTAAATAAATGATCTGAATTTTTTCATATTTCCTGACAAAGAGATATTTATTTGGACATAATCTGTGATTGGCAAATGCAAACATGTTTAGACAAATCTGATGTTCTTTTTCATTTTTAGCAGTCTCTCTGTTCTCTCTTGTCTGAAGAGAAAAGATTGGTTTTTACCACTTAGAAAACAAAGAAAGTTAGAGTGTATTTTTCTTTTCTCCCTGTGTGTCCACTCCATTTTATGTCTGTTGTATGTAATCTATGTCTCACTTAAATAGATGTAATCTACGTTTCACTTAAATAGATGGCAACCTTCCCATTTAAATTGGGTTGGATGTTAATAACTTGATTAAAGTAACCAATAGATGGATGGATGGAAGGATAGACAGATGGACGGATGGATAGGTGAAACTGTATAATAAATTGGATAAACTTGTTTAACACTTAAACTACAGTGTTTTGTTTTGGGTTTTTTTTGCTTCGTATTGTATAATTACTAGTTAGCTGAATTTGCTGTGATTCTACTTATCAGAAAGGGTTGGTTGTGTTTATATCTTGTAACAATAAGATGCAGTGACAGCAACTGGAGGCAGGAGGATGCTTGGACTCTTATCTGAAAAACCTAAGAGCTATAGCATATGGAGTACTGATAACTTAATGAAAGTTGGATAAATAAAGGAAAAGAAGCTTCATTGTATCAGAAGAAAAATCCATTAGTGGGGTTTTGTATGCTGTTTTCTATTAGTTAAACTGCTTTGAAAATCTTAGTGAGCTTTTCCTTTGGTCTTCAAATAACAGGTTCTTTTCTTATATTGAACACATTTGTTTATCTTAAGGGCCTGAACAGTTTGGGTGCTTTTAATTTATCTCTCCTTTTTGCATTTTTTATCTGTGTATGAACACATGGACTTCCCAGTCCTCCTCCTCCACTAAAGCAGTTTCACAAACCTCTACATCATTCTTAGAAATATTAATGTGATCATGAAGATAAAAAATATTAAACATTCTTTCCTGATTTATTTTCAGGCATTACAAGATGCCTCCCCCCAATCCTTGTTCACATGAAGTCTCTGAGCACAGTTTACTATTCTGACAGTATTTGTTCTAGACAGTATCTAAAGAAGCTACTTCGTTGGTTTTGATGAACTTGAAGTTGCCATATGACTGCTTTTGGGCAGACACACTAATTTCTGCTGAAGTTGCTACCCAAAATTGATGTCAGAAGTGCCACTTTGACAATGTACTTGAGCGGCATAAAATTAGGAATGCAGGTAGGGTGGAAGTAGTTGAAATTCAGACACTGTGATGACCGATAGTTTTTTGACATTTATAAATATGCATTTATGTTTAGCTGTATTATTATTCATTTTAAAGGGAACTATACTTTACTTAGCAAAAAAAAAAATATTCTTGAGAAAGTGAAATTATCTCTTCGTCCAAGATAGCCCTATTGATTTTTAGATCCTAGATCAGGGGTCTTCAAACTTTGCCCTTTTATGACTTGTGGACTTCAACTCCCAGAATTCCTCAGCCAGCGTGTCATAAAAGGGCAAAGTTTGAAGACCCCTGTCCTAGATGATATATGATTGAGATATGGAGATGAGGAAGCTTAGTTTTCCAAAAGTTAAAGTTAATTCATGAAGCTTTCTGGGTTTCCCCAGGACTAGTTTTATCTCTCATATCATAGAATTCTTAGGATAAAACAGCCTTTAAAAGCTATGTATACCATTCCACTCACTGTGGAGTAAGATGCAAATATTATGTGTACAGTATCCATTATTGGATGCACCTTGTTTTCTTTTATAAAATAAACTAAATTTTGTTTGATACAACTGATAGCCTGTACATTTGTTTTGAGAAGGGATGTTATATTCTATATTTTTTAAAAAAGAGAAGTTTCATAATGTGAAAACATACATTGAATCTTTTGAGTTCCTCCAAAATTCTACATTTTAAAGATTTTTCAAAGTTATAAAGTTGAGTGCAATATGCATGGGTAATGAATAAATGAAAAAAATTATTGAGTTAAGTCTGCATTCAGTTGTGGTCACTGTGCAAATGCAAAAAACAGCTAGCACTAGCTGAAGAGGGAGGGACCTCCCTCTCTCTCTCTCTCTCTCTCTCTCTCTCTCTCTCTCTCTCTCTCTTTCCCCCCTCTCTCTCTCCCCCCTTCCCTTTCTCCCTCCCTCCCTCTTGCTCTCCTTTCTCTCCTCTCTCCCTCCTTCTATATTCCCTAGACCTTCTCCAAAGGTATTAAAGGATACTCCAGAGAATAGTTAGCACAAAGGGAGGGGAAATTGATCACAGATGAATATAACTCTTAAGGTTGGAGTAGTCAGTTTTCAGGATTATAAGCTTTTCAAACTGCTGCCCAACGAATAGAGTACAAAATAGGGATTCAGGAGGATGAACAAGTACTAAGAATTAAGGCAACTTTGTTTCTGGCAACATGCTCAATTGAGGAAAGTGTGATTGGTACCAGAACTAAGATTATAAGTCTTTTCACATACATTCCATTTACAATTTTGTCGCAATTAATCCCATTACCCCTTCAGAATCCTTTCCTGCAACATAATTTAGTCAAGTAAATCTCCTTAGTTCTTGCTATTGCTGGATAATTGGATGTCAGAAATTTTGCAGTTTATTGCACATCATCTAGGGACCTACCAGTAGATAGCAATTTCTCTTTTGCCCACCCCTGTCTTAAAGAATAAATGTAAGAACAAAAGAAAAAAGGAAAAGAAAATCAAACCATATTAAACAACTGGTTTGTCCTAATCAAGCTGAACCAACTTTGATAGTTTTAAAAAGCTTATTTTCTTGTTACTGTTTCTATTCTAAGATGTTTCTGAAATCGAATAACTAAGAAAATTCCAAGTGTATTAGCATCAAACTTTTATTTTTTTTGTGGTGTTACACTGTCTCATATATATTATGGAAAGATTAGAGTCATAACCAGATAATAACCATAATCATAGACAGTATAATATAATTCATAATCATAAAATAGTTCTGAAATCACTAAATCATATTTGTGTTTATTCTTTACAAGTTAATGAAAATGAGATTATAAAGTATTTTTTACACATTATGTAATATATTTTATTATTATTTGACAGATTTATGGAAAAGACCAAATGTGATAAAAAGGATTGGAAGCTATATAGAATAAATGAATGAAAATTTTTTTTTTGAAAACACTAACCTTCAAAAAAACGAATGTCTTACAATGTTTTATGTGTTAAAACAAAAACATGTACATACATTGTCGTAATACACTGAGATATGCTATCACAGAATAATCTAAAAGAGAAAAAGCCTGCTTAAGAAGCAGCAGCAAATGTGTAGAGGAAATGAACAGGAAAGACAGTGTTTTAAACTATGTAACTAATTTGCTTTTTTTAAAAAATAAATGGACTAATTACTTACCCTGGTTCAAACACATCTTCTTCATACTTTTGGCTACTATGGAAGTTACTAAATTCAAAAGAATAAGGGTTGATATTATTTTCTTGTATAAAAAATTAAGCATTTCATTAGGTAATTTAAGATAAATTTTCTGGTAATTAATGAGAATGGTATAAAGCAGCAAAAAACCCTTATTATTATAAAAGTGTATGTAAAAGAGTATGAATATTTTAAATTAATATTTTAAAACAAGAAAAATGCTAACATTTTTTTGTTATGCTTTCCCCCATAAATAGGTGACAAAGAAAGTAAAGTCGATGCAGATGTTTCATACACCAGTAACGTATGCCATGCAAGGGGATAGGGTTGGAATTTGTGTAACCCAGTTTGATCCAAAGCTGTTGGAACGAGGCCTCATTTGTACACCTGAATCTCTCCAGACAATCCATGCTGCCATTATCTGTTTAAAGAAAATCCCCTACTTTAGAGGGACTCTTCAAACCAAGGCGAAGTTTCATATTACAGTTGGCCATGAGACTGTTATGGGAAGAGTAATGTTCTTCAGCCCAACTCCTGATGACTTCAGTAAAGAGCCTCTGGAAAATTATTTTGACTTTGAAAAGGAATACCTTTATGAGGAGGAATATCTTTCCAATGATTCAAAGTCCTCAGAAGAAAACAAGGAAAATGGCCAGGTTGGAGAAAGACAGCTCCCAAAACAACAGTGGGCCTTACTAGAATTTGAAAAACCAGTTACTTGTCCTAAATTTTGTCTTGTAATTGGTTCAAAATTGGACACTGATATTCATGCAAATACTTGCAGACTGGCATTTCATGGGATACTCCTCCATGGAATGGAAGAGAAGAATTATACAGAGGAATGTCTGCCAAAACTCAAGGTTTACAAGATGAAACATAAGGAAGGACAAGTAGAACGGGTAAGCTTGCATGATATAAGGTTCCCTTGGATGTGCAAGGATCTTAATATGGGGAAGGGTAATTAGGAATGGAATATAAGAAAGATGGGTTCCCTTCATTTATTAAGGAAGTGTTGGTTTGCCCCTTCTCAAGAAACCATCACTAGATCCAATCATGCTGGACACCTTTCATCCAGTTTCCAACTGTCAGCCAATTGCTCTTGGGTTCACCAGGAGAATCGGCAACCCTATCTTAGGAGCTAGGACAATGGTTTTACACAGTCAGCAAAGTTAGGGATGAATTTCCTATAGAAGGTAGAAAAACCCAGAAAGTATGGACATTTTTCACATTATGGGGGAGGGAGAAAGTGCAACGATAGTCTGTAGCTTTGATGGATATACCTGTATGCCTTCTGTGTAGATTCTGTAGCCCAAATAGTCCAATTAAGGCTGGTCAAAAGTGCATTTTTCTAGTTTGACAAAGAGTTTATTGTCTTGTAATTTATGTAATACATTTCTGACATGGGTGACATGCAAAGAGGGACGTTCAGAATAAACTAATATGTCATCTAAGTACAGTATCATTTCTGAAAATATGATATCATGAATCTAGAAAAAACAGCTCCATAGTTAACCAGGCTGAAAGGCATTGCTGTGTATTCAAATTTACTGAATCTTGTATCGAATGTTGCTAAATACTCATGTCCTTCTTTCATTCTGTTTCAGCACTCCTGAAGTCTAGTTTTATAAAGATCTGTGTCTTTTGTAACTGATCTAGAAGAACTGAGATAAGCAGGGAGTGGATGATAGCTTCTAATTTTTAACCTGTTCAGGTCTTTATAATCATGAATGGTACCCACGGGGCTCCCTTTAGAGTGGTTGGTGTTTTTCCTTGTTTTTTGGTGCCAATGCTGGTGAATTGGAAGGGTAATGAATCCTTTTTTTATATTGGCATGCAAATATTCCTTGAGAATGGCTAAATTGTATCTAGATATGAAATATGGTCTCTTTGCTGGAATTTGGGCGTCCTGGCTTCAAATTGATCATGCAATTAGATGCCTGTTGTGAGGGTAGTATGATTACCTTTTCCAAACACATTGAAAAGTCTGCATATTTTTCTTGCAGGGTTGACCCTGCATTGGAGTGGGGGAGGGGTAAACTTGCAGTGCTTGTAAGTGATATTACTTACGGGAGGGAAATGAGACTGTCCCAACATACTTCTGGATCATGCTACTGAAGCTACTCTATTTCCAAGATGATGAGCATTTGAAAGAAAGCAATTACATTGTTATGAACTCTGTGTGATCTTTGATCGTCAACTGCAAAGCCATGCACTGTAGAATCAGTCCTGCTTTTAGTGGCTGTCCATTGATCGTCTTGACTGTCATTGGCAGCATAGTCATTGAATTTTTTTCATTCCCAAACAAGGCACCTGCCCTCTGTTTCACCTCAGAAAGAACAAAGCCTATTAACTAAAAAAGGATTGAAGTAAAGTATCTATATCAGCATAAAAACAACAGAATAAGGTTGCCCTCATTGAAGCTTGCTCCAAAGAAACAGTCCAAATATTAAAAGATGCCAGTACTGTAATATCAAATATAAGCATCTACTTACTGAAAGAAACAAATGAATGTACAACATAGCTGAAGTTATAACTGAATACCGTAGATGCAAAATCAACAAAGAAAAAAAGTGCATCATCAAAATGGAAAATCAGGCTGGAAAATAAGATCAGTTAGCTAAGATTAGATACAATTAAGTTGAAACAGATAAAAGAAAAGAAGCTGAAGTACAAGGAGACAAAAGGATACCTGATCAAGAAATATTACCATCAGTGGAGAGACTGCAGTGAACCAGTTAACACCAGAAGAATGAGGAGGAGAAGGAGGAAGAGGAGGAAGGGTAGTAGTAGTAGTAGTAGTAGTAGTAGTAGTAGTAGTCAACAGCAGAAGTTAACACCAGAAGAAGTCAACACCAAAAGGAGGAGGAGGAATAGTGCAATTTTGGCTGCAGCTATGGGATAATGCAAAGAAATAACAAGAATGCAGCTTGGGTAAAGGAGGTGGATAAAAATAAAAAAGCTGAAATGAAAGAACTTGTGATAACAGAAGTGGTGGAGAAAAGAGGAAGAAAGATCAAGAACTGATCAGCTCTAGGTAAAGATGAATTGCATGTTTTGGTTGAAATATCTGACTAGTGTACACCTACTCATTGCCACGTAGTTTAGAACATACTGCAAGGAGATGAAATTGAAGACTAGTTAACATCTGGCAATAATAGAAGATTCCCCCCCCCCCAAAAAAGGACAGTACCAGGCAACTACAGACCAATTGCCCTCTTACCAACAACTTTCGAATTGCTAGCTGGTATGTACCTTATATGGTCCAACAGCATCTAGTTGAAAACAAGCTTTTTCCACTTGAGTGGAAAGGAAACTACTCAAACAGCAGAAGAACAATGTTGACAAGATTTTGGAAAACGACAAGAGAAGGAAAGCCAACCTTGGTGTAGCTTATTACATGAAGGCATTATACTCACTGCCCCATGATTGGATAATCAAGGTCCTAGAAATAATAGTAGAAACATCAGAAGATTTGTGCAAAGATCAATGGCACAATGGAAGACACAGTTGCTGGTCAATGGTTATGAGAAAGGTTAACATCAAGAGAGGAATATTTCAAGGAGACTCACTGTCGTCCCTACTGTTTGTCATTGTACTGATTCCTCTGTCAACAATATTGACAACAAGGCCATGGCTATCAAACATCTGTCGGGCTCTCCCACTTCCTTTACACAGACAATCTGGAGCTGTGTGGAAAAAACCCATTTGAAATTAGAATTGCTGCTCAACACTGTTTGAATATTGCAATAGAGTTTGGATTGGACAAATATGCCACCCTCACCATCAACAGGGGAAAAATAATGAAAACTGAAGGAATTGAGATGCTTTTTGGAAATAACATCAAGAATCTAGATGAAATAGATCACTACAAATACCTGGGCATTCTTTCAAGCTGACAACATCAAGCACACTGAAGTCAAGTTAGAAGTGAATATATCATGAAAGTGAAGAAGATCTTAAAGTCCAAACTTTAGGAGGAAATACCAATTAGCACCTGGGCAATTCCAGTCATTAGGTACGGCACTGGAATAATGACTGAACTCAAGCAGAACTAAAGGCCCTGGATAGAGAGACCAGAAATATAGTGACAATGATTCATGCCTTTCATCCATGAGCAATGTTGACAGATTCTATTCACCAAGGAAAATAGGTGGTGGTGGAATGTTGCAAGTACATCAGATGGTTGGAGAAAATAAAAGGGTTTTGGAAGCATATCTGAAGGAAGGTGAAGAAGATGCACTGAAGTGTACCAGGAAGGCTTACTGAGTACTGGACAGACCAAACTGGCTTACAAGAAGGATTAAATGAAGAATAGAAAAGAAGCATGGGAAGATAGACCTTGGCATGGCTAAGAGCAGGAAAGTTGAAGAAAAAGACAGAGTGGTTAATTCTGGCTTCAAAGCCCAACAAATGCATATCAAGCCAGAATTGAGAAGATAGGAACAAATAGAAAATTCTACTTCTGCAAAGAAGCTGAAGAAACAGTGGGCTCCTAGTCACCTGCTGAAAGAAGATCACATAGACTGACTACAAAGAACAGCATGAGAAAGTAGCAACAATGGTCCATTGAAAGATCTGTAAGAAATACCATTTGCCTAGAATCCAGAATTGGTGGACAAAGTAATAAGAAAATGAAGAAGCTAAAGTGCTTTGGGATTTTAGAATTCAAACAGAAAAGCACTTTGCAACCGGAATGGGGCAACTACGGCCAACTCATTGCATGACACCTCACCATGGCCAACTCGCCATCGGACAGCTTGCTGTGGGACAATTTAACAATTCTATTTAATTATTTAAAATAAATAAAAAAAATTTTTTTGCCATTCACATTTCATTCTGTCCCTACTTTTGCATCCTTTCTTCAATGATTCTATTTCACTATTTCTTTGATGCTAGTGTAACTCTTGTCCTGCAGCGAGTTGTCCTGCAGCAAGTTGGATGTGGTGAATTGTCATACACCACTTGCAACATAACACCCCAGACTTAATAGCTGTCAGTGACAAAATCTCTGGATAGTGGAAGAACCTGGAGACAGCAGAAGAAGATGAGAGAAAGATCTGGAGAAAATAACAAACGTAAGGACTTGCAAATAGAAGGAGAAAAACAATTGCAAAGAAATCAAAGATTATACTAATAGTAATAGGTGCCTGAGTTACAATTCCAAAACATCTGGAGCACCACTTGAATACCATTGGCACTGACAAAATTCACATCAATCAATTGCAAACGGAAGCTTTACTTGGAACTGCTTACATTCTGTGATGATACCTTTAACACTTTAAAACAATAACTACTTATCCCAGGTCATTGGGAAGGACTTGACAGGTGGATAAAAACTTCAAATTCACTCTAAACATTTGGCTGACTGTGCAGCAAATTATTCTACAGCTGAAATTAACTAAGTTAATATTGTGAGTTAGATCCAGAGCTGAATTTCTTGGCTAAACCTCCACATATTTCAAACGGGGCTAAATTTTTACTGGAAATTCTGCAGGAAAAGCAGAAATAATAGAAAAGTAAGATTTAGCGTGCTACTACCACTTTCTCCCCCTTGCTAGAGTATTTCTTTAATATAAAAGCGATTATGGAGACATAGATGTATATCATTGTTAATATTAAGTGTAATGTTCTAACAAACATAATTTGTGTTTACTTAGAGTATATGTATAGATAGATGGCTTGGAAAAAAAACAGCAGCTTAGTCCTCAAGGGGAAAAGTATGAACAAATGGGTGATGAAATCATTGAGTGCTTTAAGAAATGTCCAGCCTCTGGTTTCATAGAAATACTAATTCAGACGGTTCCACCCTATTGCTGATAGATGTCTGGAGATTAGAACAACTGAATTTACAGTGTCTATTCTTGACATTGATGGAGAAAAACTATGTTCTCTTTGTCAA